ACTAACCATGGTTAGTTTCAAACTACAATTTGTAGACATGATTCAGAATGATTCAAACATGATTTGAATTTCAAAATGAGCTTGAACTAATAGTAGTTAGTTGCTAGAATAGATCTAATACTAATTATGTGTAATTCTGAAAATATTCAGTGGTTACCTAAACAGTGTACTGCCATCCCAAAGTCACCATGTAAGCTATATGATTTTTATTCTAGAACTATTGTGCAACAATAAAATAATTTTTAATTCTAGAACTATTGCACAACAACAGTTTTCATTAACATATTGGACAACATTTTTCAACTTTTTCTTTCAACAAATATGATTGTTCTGAATTGTGAACGAATATTTTAATGTTATCTAGTTCTGAAATAGTTCTGAATTGTGAATAAATATTTTGAAGCTGTTTTCTAAAATTGGAAAATAATAGTTACTGTAATACTTTTGCTTCTATTTTTTCTCTCCAGCTTTTTAGATATCTTAATTAAAGTCAGGAACCGACACAATGATGTTGTTCCTACCATGGCCCAAGGAGTTATTGAATACAAGGAAAAATATGGATTTGATCCTTTTGTGAGCAGTAATATCCAATATTTTTTAGATAGGTTCTATACTAATCGCATCTCATTTCGCATGCTTATTAATCAGCACAGTAAGTATCTATTTATTTAATCTTAAGAAAAAAAAAATAAGACTTTTTTTTAAAGCAAAATAGGAAATATGTGCCTGTGGTGAAGACATATTTTAAATGAGTGTAATTTTTAAAAAGATACTATTTATACCTTTGTTTCTCAGAATTTCATTCCATTGTATATGGTTGCCTTTCCTCTTCCCCTTTATTCTCTTATGAAATTTGTGGAATAGTTTAGCACTAGAACGAGAGGATAATTGGCTCAAGGACATTCAGAGTGTATAATAAACAATTGGGGATTTACACCTGGATCTCCCACACTCTAGTCCAACATGCTACATGCTATCCTGCCCTGACCTCATTTAATACAGGCTAATAAAATAATTAGGAATTGGAACCACTGAATTGTGTCTCTTTCCTAGGCTTACTATAGTATTACACACTTTCTTGCCATTAGGGATGAAAAAATCTGGATGTTTAATGGATAAAAGACCATTGGGAGTGGGAGAGGATTTTGGATTTTATTTTGCAGAAAAAGAAAGGCATATCAGACTAAACTAATTGGAAACATGCCAGCAGCTTTTCCAGATATTTTTTTACCCAGCTTCTCAGGAGAAATGAAGTGGGTGAGGAATCTAGAAAATATCCTCAAAAAATACCTGGGCAAAAGAGGGTATAGAGAAACACTGTAAAAGATGTATTGATTTCAGGACCAGGCAAACTCAAAAAAGGGTGCATAATGAATGTCTTTACTTGTTTGGCATGGAACAGTTGTCTCAGCCTGTGCATTAGGCAGAAAGCACTGTCATGTAGGGTTTCTCCAAGTCACAGTAATTGCCAAGTCAGTGCTCAGGAGGCTTATTTTTAAAAAATCTAAGCAAGGCTCATCTGAGTTGTATACTGTCTATCAGTTAAGGAAATCTGATCTGCATTATTTGTCATTGTGATTGTACTATTTTTTTTTTTCCCAGCCCAGTTCGAAAACATACCAAAGGAACTTTTTTTAAAACTGCTGTAAAAATATTATGATCAATTTGTCATGGTGGTATTTCACAGATTTAGCTTTAAAATTAAGTTGCTTAATAATATTCCCAGTTAACATTTCTGAACATTCTTAGTGTGTGTCAGTATAATGCATATGTGTCCTATTTGATGGGATGCAGGCCAAAGTATGTTTGGTTTGCAAAGTAGTCTTTAGGTTAGAGAGCCTTGCTTGCATAGAATAGCACAAACAAGTCTAGGGTAAAATTGGGCTTTGTTTGCACTTGTGGCATACTGACCAAAATGTGCCAAAGCTGATTGAGTGCTGCCCTTGTCAAGAAAAATGCTGCATGTGTTGTGGATATGAGTAAGGCTGGTGATCCATTTTACATCTTCTCTATGTAAGTAGAGAGTCTTACATGAAAATCTTGGTTGATCAAAGCACTAATGGGTGGCAGAGGTCAATTTCTGTGGGCCTATTTAGTAACAATCATGGCATGTAGAAGATTACAATTTGGAATGTAAGAACAGTGAATGGTAATGAGCAAGAATTAAAAAAATGAAATGTAAGAAATAAAAGAAAGCCAGTTTGGCATAGTGGTCAAGGCTAGAAACCGGGAGACCATGAGTTCTAGTCCTTCCTTAGGCACAAAGCCAGCTGGGTGACCTTGGGCCAGTCACTCACTCTAAGCCCTAGGAAGCAGGCAATAGCAAACCACTTCTGAAATCTTGCCAAGAAAATTGCAGGGACTTGTCCATAGGCAGTTGCCAGGAGCCAACACTGACTTGAAGGCACAGATATATAAGAAATAAAAATAGATATGTTACATGTCTGTGAAATTAAGGGAAAGAATGTAATCCATCTGAATGAGGATGGTGAATTCTAGTGGAATGGATTAATATATGCAGGGAGGTGAAGATATGGGTTTTAAAATGAAAGGGCTAAAATGTATGTCAGAAAGTATGAATTGGTATAATCTAGATTATTGTAGATGTATGAATTAATATGTTTAGTGTTAGTTGCATGTTACACTTCAATGAATGATCATAATGGAAGAACCAGAGGTGAGTTCGAGGGAAATTGTGCAATATTCTGAATGAATGAAATCCAGGAGAAAAATGTTTCTGCCAGGTGACATGAATAGTTGGATGAGAATGAGGCAAAGGAATGTATAAAAGTTACTGGGCCATTTGAAGATCAAAGAATGAATGAATATGATGACTGGTGAGTTATCTGCTTTTAAAAGTCTGTGATTTGAGTACTAGATCTAGGTATATGTCTGTTCATATTCATTTCTAAATACACTCTAAACACTTGATGGTTTATGATGAAAGATTTAGAGGATTGGTGAATACAAGAGTGATGAGAGGTTCTGAATATGGAACAGACCACTATTTGTTAATGGTAAGAGTGAATCTTGAAAAAACATGGACATGGAAGAAAAGGGGAAAAAATTAAGCTAGATTGAAAGAAGAAAAAATACGAACCCTGAATGAAAAAATATTAAAAGATAGATTAATCTTCAAAGAAAATGAATGAAGACTGGATGTAAGGAAAGGAATCTAGAAGCTGTTTAGAAAAGAGTGAAAATATGTTACAGAGTGCCACAAAAGTAGGAGCAGTTAATGAAAAAGTGAGAGAATGGGGGAAGGAATATTTTATAATTTTGTATGGGAATGATGTAGTATGCTGAAGAGTGGAATTGAAACGAATGCTTCAAGTAGAGGCCAAGAAAAAAATGAGGAAAAGCAAGTCATAAACACTATCAGAATGTTGAAAAATTATAAAGCTGTAGGTATATGCAGTTAATTAGAGAAAAATGTTAAAATATGGTTTAGCTATAAAAAGAACCCCTTCCTGGAATGTCTGAGCCTCTGTGATTATAGGGAAGTTAAAATCACTGAGCATATTCTTCTGTTCTGCTTATTTTACATATACATCCACAGTACTCTTACTCTTCCAATGTGTGGCTGCCAGGCATCATAGACTAATTTTATGCCTCCATGCTACTGACTCCAGCCCCTTCATGAGTGTTGCCAAGTTCTGCATAACAACATGTAGAATCCTCCTAATATTGACTGTCAATAAGAATTAATCAGGCTCAACGTATCTCATGCCTATACTGCTGTTGATCGTCTCCAGTTACTCAGTTTTCCAGCTTTTGCTGCCACTGCTTATTCTTGTAGTTTTTTAGATAGCACAGTATAGATTTTGGTTTTACTTACAATTTTTACTCTCTCTTCTAACTTTCTAAGTCATTGTTCTTTCAGTTTTTAGACATACTGTTTAACATTAGAATTGTTTATACCATAGTCTCTATGTTTTATTTTATGCTAGTGAAAGACTAAAAAAAATGCATTGTATTATTAATATATTCCCCATAAGTCTTGCTAAGCTGCCTCATTGTGACTGCATATGTGTATGTATTCCTGGGAGGGATGAGTGAAAGACACTTGGAGTGTATGTCAAGAGTATATTCACCCATGGAATTAAGGTCATCCCAGCTGCCCAGGTAAAGCAAGCAGACACCTGTATCTAGCAGCTGTAATATAGGAAGATGCTAGAGGTGGATGATCATTTCCTGACAATGGCAAAGGCATCATTTCATCCTAGGAGAAGGCAGTGGTAAACCACTCTGGTATTTTACTAAGAAAACCACATGAATAGGCAATATAAAGTGATTGACAATGTAGTGCTGAATGTCACTCAACATGCTATGAAGAAGAGCTGAAGATCTTTCGGAATTCTAACTGTATTTATTACATGGCTAAATTAAAGCCTTCCAGACACCTAATTGCTGATGTTGTCATGCAGAAAAGAAAATGTGAAGCTGCAGAGTCAGAGTCATAGTGGAAACTTGGAGTGTTAGAAGTATGAAAATAGAAAAGCTCAACACAGTGAAAGATGAAATGAATTGACTGCATGTTGTTATCTTAGGCATTATCAAACTTAAGACTGGAATCAGACATTTTCGGTGATGATGCAGGAAAAACGGAAATTGATGAATTTTATAATCAAATTCACTTCTGAAATTGACAGAGCATGCAAGCAGTATGTGCTGCTTGTAGATGGGAATTGGAATGCCCAAGTTGGAAATATTAAGGAGGAAAACATAGTTAGACTATATGGCCTAGGAAACTGAAATGAAGCATAAAAATGACATCAATTTTTCTTGACTCCTATACACATGGATATCACCAGATGGAGTACACAGAAATCAAATTGAGTATATTATTGCTACATCGAAGTGGAAAAGCTCTGTCAGAACCTGCAGCAATCAAAATATTAATCAACTAGAGGCCTGTTTTATTAGAGTAGTAAATCAAATTGAGTATATTATTGCTACATCGAAGTGGAAAAGCTCTGTCAGAACCTGCAGCAATCAAAATATTAATCAACATCAAATTGAGTATATTATTGCTACATCGAAGTGGAAAAGCTCTGTCAGAACCTGCAGCAATCAAAATATTAATCAACTAGAGGCCTGTTTTATTAGAGTAGTAAATGTCTGTTTTGCTTGCTTTGTTTCTGCCATTCTTAACGGGGGGGTGGGGGGAGTGAAAGAAGACAGAGCCGGTGCAGTTTCGAAGGCCAGGAAGATGAAGTGTTATCGGGGTTAAGAATGTACAAGGTTGTACCGCTGTGAGAACCAAAGTTAGCGCCTAGAATGAGGGGGGAGTGCAAGGGGGTAAAAGTAGAGGGAAAAGTACACAGGCTTTAGTTTTAGCAATGCTTTGCTTAGAGTTGCATGTACGTTCCAATAAATGAATTTCTTTTTGAACTTAACATGAGTTTCAAGAGATTTTTCTTCGTTGGAATTTGAACATAGCAGACCTGACAAGCTCAGTTTTAACAGCAAAATGTGGCCAGAAGAGGGCAAACTGAATGTCAGAATCATAAGTGGAAATTGCCAAGAAGAAAAAGAAGCCAAAGCCAGGAAAGACAAAGGACAAATTTCAGAAGGAACTTAACAATGAAGTTCAAAGAGTTCTTAGAAGAGATAAGGGCAGTATTAGAATGATCTCTATAAAGTCATTAAAGATGGAAACAGACATAGAAAAACAAAAAAAGTTTCCAAAAGATCTCACAACTCAGAAAAAAAGTTCCAACTTCAATTTGGCATGCTAAAAGGACACCAATGGACATACAGCAACTGATTCCAAAAAAGATAAAACGAAGATGGAAAGAGTATGCTAAAATGATGTCCAATAGAGATGTCGGCATCCAAGCTACCACAGAATATAGTCTCTACTTACCTCTAGTACTAGAAGATGAAGTTATATTGGCATTCCCGTCATTACCAAGTTGGAAGGTTACAAGAATTGATGGAATATGCAGAGAAATATGGCAAGCAATAGAAGGAGAATCACTAAAGGTTCTAACAAATCTATGGCAACAAATTTTGAGAACAGTACAATAGCCAACAGATTGGAAGAACTGCGTCTATATATCAGTACCAAAGAAATGAGACTTAAAATGTGTGAACTATCGTACAACATCCTTAATTTTCTTGGCTGTATTAGCAATTTGGGTTGTTGTTTCTTGGCTGCTTGTATTTTAACTTTTATAATGTTTGTTACTGTTTTTATTTTAATTCTGTTCAGAGACAGTTGTTGAGATGGGAGGCCATATAAATTGGATAAATAAATTCACATGATAGCAAAATAATGCTTAGAATCATCCAGTACAGATTATAGCCCTACATGGAATGGAAGATAGCTCAAGTTGGTTTTAGAAAAGACCAAGGAACAAGAGACGTTATTGCTAAGTAGCCAGTAGTCAAGAAATACCACAGATTAGCACTAGGTAGGATAGCAGTGAAGATTATGGAAATGATATTCAGATGCCATTTATCTACAAAGATCAGAACAGTGAAGGCAGTGGTTTTCTCTGTGACACTCTATGGATGTGAAAGTTGAACTTTGAACAAAAGGATGGAAAAAGTATTGGCCCTTTTGAACTTTGATGTTGGAGAAGACTCTTGAGGACACCATGAATAGTTCAAAAATAAACAAATGGATCCTAGGACAAATCAATCCATAGTTCTCATTCAAGGCACATATCACCAGGCTGAAATTATATTTTGGACACATAGTGCAAAGATCCATTCTCTTGAGAAGTCCATAATGCTGAGAGAAGTAGAGAGGACAACCAGCAGCAAGGTTGATGGACTCACAATGGTGAAGGATGCACAGTTGGAAAACCTGAAGGGCCAGGTTTGGGTGAGATCTTTCTGGAAAATGTCGATGTGTGTGCTCTTTAAGAGTTAACACTGACTTGATGGTACATAATCATTATTAAAATATAGGTATAGTTTCCTTATGGAGTGCTTATGCAATTGTATCTGTGCCTATATATAACAGTATGTTGTTATTGTTCCCCAAGGGGAAAAGTAGCAAGCATGGATGCAAAATCTATAGGAGAATTAGTTTGCTGAGGTTGCCTGGTAAGGTGTTTGTAGTATTCTGATTGAAAAAGTTTAATAGGTGATGCGGAGCTGTATATGTTAAGTGAAGTGCATCTTTATGCTGGACAGGGGGCATGCAGATCAGATTTTTATTTTTAGCAAGTCATTGAGAAATATATGAATGTAAGAAAGTTTGCTCAATATTTGTTTATTTAGAGAAAGTATATGATAAAGTAAATTGTTTTTGATTTATGGAATGATTTGCATAAATATGGAATTGAAAGTTGGTTGCTGAATGTGATAAGAGTGATATATGATGGAAGTAAACCACACATGAAAATAAACAGAATGCTCAATATTCTGCAGAGAGTAAGAGAAGAATTGGTGGTATCCCCATGTTTAAATTTATTTATGTATAAATGCATAAGGAAAGCTTGTAGTGACATTAGAGGTGTATGCGGATGATGCCATTATTTGGCTAAGAACCTGAATGATGTGGAGTGAATGTTAGCTAGATGGCATAATTGTTTTGCTACTGTGAAAGACTGGTATGGAAGTAATGGTGTGGAGAGAAGAGAAAAGTTGAATGAAAAAGCAGTTCATGATGCTGTGTATAGCTGAGGGGAAAGCTGTTTCCTTTTCCCATATTTTAATTTCTTTGTCTTACTATTTCTTGCTCTTTTTTCTGTACTCTTGCTTACCCCCAAAGGGAATAGCATGATCGGTATGTATGTATGTACACAGGTAATTGTAGGTTGTCCTACCCTTTCAAATGGAAATAAAGCAGGTCATAACCATACCAGTTTTACAGGATTTAAGTAGGTTTGATCTGAAGGCTGCTTATTAAAGATGTTCTGCAGAATCATTTAATATCAGAAATAGAAATATAAGGGTTAAGTAGTATTTAATGAAGCACAAAGCATTGGGGAGGCCATTTGAGATTTGTGCTGCTTGACCTAAAGTAATGATTTCAGTATTTTTCATTAAGTTTGCATAAAGCCAGTCCTAATTTTTCCAAATGCTAGGTTGAATACCTGTTTGAATTAGATCACAGAGATAGTTAGATGACAGATACAGGACTTAAAAAATGTATGGGTTTGTTGTAACTATATACTCTGTATATTTAGTATTAAATACAATTCAGTTTTATTGATATGGTCATTTAATTTTTTTAAATTTTATCAGTCTTGGGCTCTGTATAGATTACAGAGCAATTCTATACCAGTCTACCTAGAAACAAGATCCACAGAAGCTTTCTCTAAGTCTTTCTTTGAGCTGAACAAACCAAGATATTGTGAATGTTTTTGAGGTGCACAGAAACCATTTCATGTGATTGTTCATGACATGTTTAAAAGTGGTTGAGGAAGGGGGACCACCCAATAGAATTTGCAATCAGGCTAATATTCTCTATTGCATTACATTGCATTGAGGAATTAAAGTACAAGTAGTACTGCTGAAGAAAGGAGCAAAGCAGATGTCACAGATGTCACAGATGTACATTTTGTCTGTACAAGGATTTCTTTGCAATCATTGGAAGCACATTTTTCAGTATTAATAATTAATTAGTGGTAATATTTACTTCATGAAAGGGCTTTAACAAGATTTGTTTTTCCTTTGCATGTAATAGAAAATTTTTGTTGTTTAAAAAGTAATAGTGCTTCAATTGATTTCTATCTTTTTATCCTCATAGCACTGCTTTTTGGTGGGGTCACCAATCCTGCTCATCCCAAACACATTGGGAGCATTGATCCTACTTGTAATGTGGCCGATGTAGTAGAAGGTAAAAATAAATAAAAATAAAATAAAAATAAAAATAATATTGCTTTGGATTTCAGATGTTGATTGCATCTGTTTCTCATGGTAGAGTCATTAGCTATATTCGTTTTCATCAAAGCAAAATTGCTTCTTCTCTTGTTTAATAGCTTTATGTCTGTATTATTGATGCTAACCATGGTTAAAATTAATCAAATTCTCTCAGCCCAAACTTTCCATATCCACTTCAGATTAAGTTTGGTATCCTTGTTACCAGTGACTCAGGTGCACCATGACTGAAACAAGGCACAAGTAAAGTGGCTTCAGAAGCAATATGATGTCTGCCTTTAGCTTTGCTAACTATGATTTGCAATGAATTATAGATACTGTTGCCCTATTTACAATGATCACTACTTTGGATTTGATCTTTCACCTTTTCCCATCAATGTCTCACAGTTGATGAAATTATATTGCTTCCAATTTTGTCTCTTCAGAATTCTTTGTAGTCCTCAATATGTTTATTTCCACATGCTACCTTTTGCATCACACTGACTATTACATAAAATAATTGCAAGTTGCATTTTATTTGTGCTGGCATTTATTTGTGTTCCCAATATATGGGAGATGAAACAATTGCTTCCTCAGTTCAAATAAATAAAAAGTATTGCTTAGTTTGATTATACAGAAAATTGATTCAGGAGCAAGCTGACATTTTTTGTCACTAGATGGAGTCATAGCATACTTAATATAACAGAGAATAGTCTTCTTAGTAAAATATAGTAGTAAAAGTACTCGTAAAATTACTTTAACGTTTTTTTTTTTTAAAAAATGCCCCAGTGAGATATGTTGGCAGGATCTAGAGACCTACCCATTTACATTTTTAAGTGCATATTGCATTCATTGTGTTGGAAATAAATTTGGATAAATACCCATTTCCTTGTTCAAATAGGTTTGTGGACTATGAGACTGCACTGGAAAATCCATAATAGCATAAGATTATAGAAATAACTGTTCCCTTGGTCTGTATTTCTTGATTATGAGTGAGATGCCAATAACTACTTTGTCTACAATTTCTAAGATAGATTTCATGAAAGTTGCGGGAGTAGCTTTTGAAATTAAACTAATAGTGTAGATAAGAATTGCAATTTTTAATAAGGTATGCAAGATTGGGTCTGAATTTGGGCAGTGCAGTCTTACATATGCTTATTCAGGATTTCAATAGAATTTACTCTTCAGGTAAGTGTGAATAGTATTATATCTTACATTTTTTGAACATGTCAGAGGTCTTGCTTTCTTGTCTGACATTTAGGTACTTTCATGCTTTTTTTAATGCCAGGTAGAAAACAAGTGAAGTGCAGCTTTAAAACCAGCATTGAAAACTATGGAGCAAAAGAGGAAGCCCATTTATTTTTTTGAAAAAGATAACTGCACCCACTTATAATAGCTTAGGATAGGATTAGTTCCAGAGAAAGGTATAAACTTCCCCTTAGTTCTCTGTTTTTCCACTAAATTAGCAGTTCCTCCCTTAGCAGATTTAAAGTAAAGGAAAAAATAGTAGGAGATTCAGTCAGGGAATCTCTCACATTACTTGAAATCTGGTCCTTATAGATTTTGTCTAAAAATGAGAAGTACTTGCAGCTTCTAAATTTTATAATTTGTTTATTTATTTATGTATCAAATTTGTATAGCCGCCCATCTCACAGAAAAATGACTCTGAGTGGCTTACAACAATCTGATAAATACAACACATACATAAACAATCAGTATAAAAAATATTAAAATCAATATTAAAAGATAAATATGATTAAAAACAAATATGTTATCTACTCACATGATATATATTGTTATTCTTCCCTCACAGATGCCTTTGCAACTGCCAAAATGTTGTGTGAGCAGTATTATCTAGTAGCACCTGAATTGGAAATTGAAGAATTCAATGGTAATACAGATATGATTGCTTTTTACCATTAAGTATCTGTCAATTTATGGATTGCAGGAAGTTGTTATTTAAATAAAAACTAATAGCTGAATTCATTTTGAATTGAGAACTGTGGCAAAGTATACATGTACAAAAAATAATTTCCCTTCCATTCCACCATTTCCATCTTTTTGATTTGATTGATTGATTATGTGTCATCAAATTGACTTTAGAAACCACATAGATTTTCTCCAAGAGAATCTTGTCCCCAACTTGGTCCTTCAGGTCCAAGATGCACCCATTACTGCTGTAATTGAATCCATTCATCTTGCTCCTGGTTGTCCTTTTCCCTTTCCTTCTATCTTTTCCAGCATTATAATCTTCTCCAGAGAGCTAATTTAATTTTTATTTCTAGTAAATAAGATAAATAAGAAAAATTACTGTTGTTAATGTTAACTTGACTTTAATTTTTAATTAATAAAAGTTTTATTTATGTTTTCTAGCTAAAACACCAGGCAGGCCCATTCAAGTTGTCTATGTACCCTCGCATTTGTTTCATATGCTTTTTGAATTGTTTAAGGTAAGTAAACTAACATCATGGGAGGGAGATAGATCTTATTTGGCTTCTTGCTGAGTGTACCAGAAGTAGCGTTATCAAGCTTCATCCTAAATATAGCCATGGGTACACATTTGGATGCAATATTGTCTTTGATGACAAATTGTGAATGCTAATTAAGAGTCAGACTTGAGCAACAGATTTTGACAACATGGGAAAACTTTTAGGTGCTGAATGTTTTGCTGTCTGAAATTGGGCACTCACCTCTCCTATGTTTCATTTATTGTTGTTTCATGGAAATAGTTAACATATTGAAGCAGACAGCCCATAGGATGGACGGGTGAAGGTTGCAAACCTCACCTCCCAGAAGCCATCTGGGTCTTCACATCATGGCCCTACTTTCTGCTTTGGAGTAGTGTCCTGGTAGTTCTTGCTGCCGCACCTGTCTTTCAGGGGGTGCCTCACCCTGGCATCCACACCCTTAAACTCTGGTATATAAGAAACATATGGCTCTCATACCTTGTGCTGCTTTTCTGATGATTAAAAGATAAAAATAAATTAATTCCTATAGTACAATCTCCTGTCCATATGGCACCAAGGTATGTGGTTAGAGGTTTCAGCCCGTCCTTGGGGGATAAACCAATGTCATGAGAGAGAAAAAACATTAATTTTAAAAACAGAAAAGATAAACTGATAACTTTTTAAATTTTTAAATATAGGAATGCCAACATTTCCTGATAAAAGAAGTAAATATGGAGCTGAAAATCATGCGGAAATAGCAGCTTTCAGGGGAATTACAAAAGAAAATACATTGCTCCAGCCAGATCACAAGTTCCCTGATCTGTTATAAATATAGAACTGGATATAAAGAGATTGGAGTGGGATTTCAATATCTTATTCCAAACCTCAAAAGTTTCCAAAGAGAGAGTATTTACTCATGCACAACTTGAGATGTGATAAAAGGCTGAAATGCATGTTTCAGGTAGGAATGTAATCTCTTAAACTGCTAGGAATTCGCTAGGCATCTGGAAGACAAAAATCACTTGGATATGCTTGGAATTAGATACCAGATTGGCAAATCTGGAGGATGTGACTGAGACTTCATTTTGCCAGATTATACCAGATTGAGTTTGATCTTGTGACACAAAGGAAGTGGACGAGGTTTTCTGCAGCATCAGTTCTGCCATGCATAGTCTGAATTTCTGCCCTTCCTGGTTGGTGAAAACTCCAGGAGGTGAGAAGTGCCTGGATTAGAGCAGTGGTAAATTTATCCTTGGGTGAGGAGGTGGTGCATCTTCCTTGAAGGTTGTGGTAGGGCACTGTGAGGGAGTGAAGGTGGGGTTGCTCTCTGTGCTTGGGAAAGGTAAGCTGCAGCCAGGTAGAAACACTTCCCACCCCATTTCCCTCATTTCCCTGACTACTCACAAGCATTCAGGCCAGTGTTCCAGCTGCCTGTGATAATTGAGCCACACCCTGGTGTTTTCAAGGCTTTGCCGATGTCCAGAGTCAGCCTCACCCCACTCTGGCTCTTAGCTTAGAAGAGCAAACCTTAAGACAAAGTGGAGGACGAGGTGTGTGTAGAGGGTGTGTGTAAGAGGAAAGATGACAAGCAAACGGCCTACAGACGGGGAAGCAGAAGTGACATCTGAAGATTGGCAGCTATTATAAGCAGGCAAGAGGACTGTCATTCAACTGCCAGGACCACAGGTTGTGGTGAGCAGCATATCTTGGTTGGGAGTCCTGCCTGGAGCTTGGAGCTTTGCTGGGAGCTCAGTAGCAACTTAGAAAAGAAACAACCACACTGAAGCAGCACCTAATCTCAACTAGTGCAAGAATGTTTGGAAAAAGGCAAAGGTTGTATGCCACTTTACAGACTTTACAAACTTTGTATATTTATACAGTCTTTATGCATTTTATAGACTTTTGCTTGAACTAAGTATTAAAGGACTGAATATTAAAGACATATTTACATGGCAGCATCACCTTGCAAGTCCTAATTGGCAGAGAGCGGTAGTCTGTTGTTGGGGAAGATGTGTGCTGCAATAAAACATTTTGAACAGATTTGCTACCCTGTGGTGTGTCCAGTCATTGGAAAACAAAGAACCCTCACAAGCACCCCCTCCACAAGAAACCATTGCTCAGTATGGACATTCTGGACAGTAATGCACCATTCAACCTCCCCTTTTGGGGGAAGGTTGTTAAAGCTTCAGCTCCCAAGGGTTCTGGGGAAGCTGATTATCTAGACCCATTTCATTCAGGTTTCAGGCCTAAGCATAACATGCATACATAATTATTGTTCTCATGAATAACATCTGATGAGACCAGGTTTGAGGAGGTGTACTCTACAGGCTCAGCCAGGTTTCTGTTATAGTATGTTAACTATTTCTAACTGAAGCGGTCTATAAAACCTGTCAAATAAATAAACAAATACATAATAAAAATTACTGAGCTTGTACAAAGAAATAAAAGGCATGAGACATACATAGCACAGAGAAAGAAACATCAAATTTTCAGTGAAAATTTCTTCCTAGATTTGTTATCTAACCTTTAGAATTAGTACTGATGAAAGTGCCTGTTATATTTTTTAGAATTCTTTTTTTCCCATGGAAATCTCAAATTTAATTTGAGGCTCTTAGAAGCAATACTAGTCCTCTCTCTTCTCAGCCTTGATCCAGAAAATTATTCCTTGGTGTTAAAAGTAAAAAGATTTAGAGTAATCTTATATACTCTAAATAGGAGTAGGGGCTGGGGTATCTCTCTGTGGACATGACAAAGAACATCTCTCCCTCATTGAAGATGTGGATTATACGTCTACAATTATCTGGAAAGCAGGCTGGCTGGTTGTGTATGCCAGACTTGCAGCCTGCTGTTCACAACACATGCATCAGTTAGATAGAGCTCCAATTAAAAAATACAGTTACATTAATAAGATTGGGCTTCTATCATAATTGCAGTGATTTTTGTACAAAGGAAAATGCTCCCATGTACAAAGATGTGTTAAATGGCTGTAATTGGCTCTGTTCATACATGAATCAACAGTTGACATTTGCATGACTAGAAAAACCAATGTTTACATAATGTCATATATACACTTCAATACTTTAAACATGAAAACATTCAGGTTACTATCTTTTTTAAAGTCTTGTGCATAAATGTTAGGGAAGTTCATACTATTAAATTAAAACATGAGCAGAGTTTGTAAAATCTTCTGTGTTGTTGCTAACATGAGTTAAGGGTCTCTGAGAAGTTAAATGTTTCATCTCAATTTGCAGAATTCAATGCGAGCTACAGTGGAGCTACATGAAGGTAAATGTGAAAGCTATCCATCAATTAAAACATTAGTCACTTTGGGAAAAGAAGACCTATCAATAAAGGTAAATAATATACTAAGATTAAAAAATCTTGTTTTATTTGTAAAACGATGTAGAAAACAACTATATGTGTTTAGTAACTCTGTGAATAATGTAGTTAATATAAAGAGGTAGACAACCCTGAGAATTTTTTATGACAAGATGATATTGGTGTTAATTTTCTCTTAGGTAGAATTTTCTTTCCAATTATTATGGCTAGGTCTGAATATTTATGCATTCATCTTAGTTTTTAGTTACTCCATAAACTGAGCAGGCATTTCTGACATAGGCCACCTATTTTTCAGTATGCTGTAGTTAGGATGGTGTTTATCAATATTTGGAGGCTGCATATTGGGCTTATTTCATGAATGATGGATTCAACTTTATGTTTTGGAATTGCTGCTTCTGAGTTTAGTTCAGGCTCTATAAGTCTCTGTTCTCTAGATCTGTAACTTTAACCATTGGAAATTGTAGACAAATATGGCATACACTGTTATTTCCTTGGAGGACATTGCTTATATTAAATTCTGATTTTATTTTATAGATAAGTGATAAAGGTGGTGGTGTGCCTCTGAGAAAAATAGATCGCCTTTTTAATTACATGTATTCAACTGCTCCCAGGCCTAGTTTGGAACCATCAAGAGCTGTACCTTTGGTAAGTTCGTTTCTGCAGGCCAAAATGGTCCCCTGATGCAGCTCATGTTTTTCAACACAACACACATTTAGAAATAATAGTTTGTCATATGAACACAAGCCCTTCACTTTAGATGTCATCATAATAATACATATATAATAGAGTCTAAATGATATAATATTAATGTTTAGGCTATTAATGTGTTATTAAACTTAAAATCAGTATATGGGGTATGTATTGAAAACATACCTTAAAAGTTTGCAAAATGTAATGCCTAATATTGCCATCAATTCTGCAGATACTTACGTTTCAGCCTTCATCAGGGTGAGAAGAGAAACACCAATAATGGACTAGTAAATCTCACATATAGGACTCTTTCTGAGTTTATATTTTGTATTTTGTTTATCAGCTGTCAAATGTATGCATAAGTTTATATAAATCACTGCTTGTACAATAACAGGCATGGGATCCTTTCCATGTTGCCATTTCCATACATTTCATTAAAACAATATGATTACAATTCTCAAATGTGCTGAACATGAATTCTGTGTCTTTGTTTCAGTAATGGGAAAAGTGGCAGAATTTAAACTGAGAAATAGCCTTGAGCTGTTTGAATAAAATCCGTGATAGAGCACCATTCAGTAAACATTTAGGAAAGAGTGAAGTCAGAAGAGTAAAACTATCCTATAAAGTAGATATGAATATGTTTTGATACTTATTTTACTCTCCCTCTTATGTTAATAAGTAAGATTTCCTTCATATGCTCAATCTTTAGCAAAGTAGCACAAGCCATATTGAATGTCCCTTTTAAATAGGAAGCATACTTGTAGTCTATATATCTGTAATGTCTTAATAAATGTAATAAAGAACTTACAGAACTTAAATTATTCATAATTCTAATTGAATTGTCAAATAAGTGCAAATACCTTGATACAGCAGCATATCTGCTATATTTCTGACCATAATAAATTGAAGCCTCCTAATTACACTTTTGGAACCTCCCCTTTCTCCATTGCTTTTCTACTGTGGAGACAAAAGCAGTCAGGTTGGTGTTAGATGCAGATGTAACATTGCACATTGATTAATGCAGAAGCCATGAAAAAGGATTGGGTTATTTATGTGAAAGAGTTCCAGTAGGAGACCTAGAATCTGGTCTGGAATTTAGTTTTATGTTAATAAGCTGCTGAGATTTGTTCTTCACTTCATATCACTGAAAATTTAATATAGACTTTGGTTGTGTTGTGAGGAATCCCATTTTATATATTACTATTACATTTGGAGAGATGGTTCAAAACATAATACAGTCATGTAAAATAATTTTTTCTTGCATCTATAGATGGCACTCAAGATGATTCATAATATATAAAAGAAAACATGCAGCAGCAATAACTAGAATAAGAGATTTGGAAAAAAATCTGCATTTTATTTTTACTTATTTTTTAATTCAGAACACTAGTAAAGTCTTGGAAAAACATTTTGTTTGAAATAAAACAAAAGGCTGTTCCTACTGTATTTGGGGAAGATGAGATTGTTAGTTACCTTTTAGGGATTGGATGGCATACAGAGAAATAAATAAGTTTTTTCTAGAGATAAACCTGACTTTTTCAGTGTTAAAAATGAAAAACCATTGGTGTGTTATTTAGAGTGAAGAGACCCAGTTTCAAAATGTCTCTGAACCATGATGGGTAGCCTACTTTGTGATTGTGAGAGGTGGGTGGGAAAGCGCTGTTTGTAATAACAACAATAAGAATGATGCTAATATAGATAAGGTAAAACATGGATAAGAACTTTACACAGAAGTTGATATTATTAGCAAATAAGTTAATACTGTTTTGAGATAAAGATACTAGAAGGTCACTATTTGTAAATTTCATGTGCGTAATAAAGCCTCAATTTAACAGATGAATAGGAGGGAAGGAGTGTCCATTAGACCTGAACATCCTTGAAATGTGAGTGGGATTTTACATATGGGTAAAAGAGCAAATAAGATTTTATGCATGTAGATTTTATTTTTGTGTAAAAAGGAAAGAGAGGCATAACATAACAAATGCTTTTTGTTTTTTGCCACTAGGCATTTCAAAATACAGTAAGGCTTATTCACTAACTCCGAATTCAAGCATAGAAATGTTACCAAATTGAAAGAACAGTTCTCCATTGTTAAATGAGGTGGGATGTTGGTGAATTGAAGCATAAGGAGAGACAGAGAGTTGTAATCTATCTTGGAATACTGTGGCACAAAATAGGGGACACAACTTTGGATACTCTGCCCTTTGCATCACATAATTGATGGCAAACAATGGAAGGTATTTTAATTCTAAGAAGAGAGAGAGGAATCTGTGTGAAGGTAGTCTGTAACTCTAAGAGTTCAGTTTTTAAATTCTTGTGTCACTGATTTTTTTCTTAGGCTGGATATGGGTATGGTCTGCCAATTTCTCGTCTTTATGCTCGATATTTTCAAGGTGACCTCAAACTATACTCTATGGAAGGAGTGGGTACAGATGCTGTAATCTATTTGAAGGTAATAATGGACTACTACAGGGGAACCCTATGAACATACTGTAGTAACTCTTATAAGAACATAAAAATCTCATAACTGATTAAGTTTTAGCATCAGGACAAGTGTTTTATTGCTAAGTATTTGTATTAGAAGTCATACAGATGTACTCAAGCTAATACTTTTTCACATTCTTGGAACATTTTCTTGGATTCTTTATTCATGGATAATAAAATTACCTTTGGAACCAGATGAGTAACTAAGTTCAGTTATGACATTACTAAACTTTTCTCTGTTTATTCTTTCCAATAAATCCATATGAGAAAACTGTTGCTAAATGGAAGCGAAAACTGTTGCTAAATAGAAAGCATAGTTCCAGCTAACAGACAATGGAATGTTTCATTATTGAAACAAACTCCAAGTCTGAGTCAGGATATATTGTAGGACTTCAGTAACAAAATATTATTATATGTCTGTGGTAAGAAGATATAAATCCACATGCTCCAATGCATACAAAAGTACAGGTAATGAAATAAAGACTGAAAATAAAGAATGCAAAAGATGAAATAAAGAATACCTTCCGTTGAATCTGTATTGAGTATATATGCTTTTTCTTCATTTAATATGGTGATCAGTCTCACTCTATTTAATTTTCTTGAAACCACTTGGAATGATCTGAAGCATGATTTTGTCACTCTTTCTTTCTTTAGGCTCTTTCGAGTGAATCATTTGAAAGACTACCAGTTTTTAATAAGTCAGCTTGGCGACATTACAAAACCACTCCAGAAGCGGATGACTGGAGCAACCCTAGCAGTGAACCCAGGGATGCCTCCAAGTATAAAGCTAACAGATAATTCATCAACATTTTCACCTTGATAGTGATACATACTTGCATTCAGAAATGAGTCTCTGCTTTGTTTCAGTTTCCAAAATCCTCTAAATCTATAGCAGCCAATTATTTCTTTAGAAAGATCTGTTACATGATTTGAAATAGCAAGAACAGAGGACTTTGAAGGACTGGCATTATGCATTTTTGGTGTGAGTTGTTGTAATTACTTTGCCAAAACATGCTTGATTAGTAAGTCACAAATTACAGAGAGGATTGCACTGTGACTGCAGTTAGATTATATACTTATATAGTAAAAGGATACTATTTTTTAAGATCACTTTCTAGTCCTGTGTAAGAATTGAAAAAAAGGTTTTGACTTGTTATTTGACAGTAGTGTCTTGCACAGCAATATAATGCAACAGACAAATTCTTGTGTACTTGAATGTGTGCATAGAAAACTCACATTGCTGCATTTTTATATGGCACTATGTAATCCATTATCTAAAAAAATCCCCACCATTATGGGGGATTGTCAGATCCTATATCAGTATATGATTAGTTGATCAAAAATCCTTAGGGCTTTAAATGTTATGTTTCTAATTCCACAGTTTCAAAAGCCAGTTTATTTAATATTGATCTAATTTTCTTGGAAAATAGTGAGACTTTCACTTTGCAGTCATTATCCTGATAAAGTTTTCCTTTTTTAGTCAATAACTTCAATATTGTAATGTGTAAACTGCTTCTTCTACTAGGCCCAAACTTATTGAAAAATAAGACAATGATGCTTTATAATTGAAGTATTTTCTACTGATCATAAAGAGATTAATTTCAAATGTTGGCTTCATCACATCAGATAATTAATTTATAGTATTAATGTTAATATGTTAGTTATTTGAGACCCATTTATATTAAAATGAAAAAATTAACAGAAGGATGCTAAAAGGAAGGACAAATATTGTTAGATTAAATATTCAGCAGCACACTGAGATAAATGTCTAAAAATTGTTTAAGGAAGTTTTTTTTTAAATGGAAACAAAGAATAAAGGTAAAACAGAGGACACATTTGAATGATACTGCCTCTGATGTTATGACTAGAAATAGAGTTTGATTTTTGAAGCAGTCAAGTAAGAATTCTGGTAATATTTTTTCACAGAAGCAATGCTAAAGCGAGGAGAGCTCCAGAACACACAAAAATTCTTCATTATCTGTAGATTGTATTATGTTTATGTTGTTTTGATAATAAGAGACTATGAACAAATTTTTAATACAGTTTGTTCTGATACGGAAATAAGGAGAAAGTTATTACGTTGATTTTTTGCCTAGATGATTCAAACTACTATGCCAATCTATATTTAAATGTAGCAAGAATCTTAATACTAATTAAAACAGAGTACCCCAGTTGCAATGAGGCATCTGTAACTTTGTTTTAAAACTTACTTGGATTACATATTTCTGTCACTAATTATATGTGCATTTTAATCATGTTTATTAATTTTATGCTGTTGCCTTCTTTCTGAACAACAGAAATCCTTTGCACTCTGGAAAAAAAAAAAAAAAGAATTAGTTCTATGTATATTTCCAGTGGCTCACAATTTATTTAAAGGGAAAATAATATATAGAGTGATGAACAAACTAACAGAATAATATCATATATCAACTTTTAGAACTCCTAATCTATCTTGTGTGTAAAACTGCTAATCTTACTGGGATAAAGTATCTCAGTGCACCTGAAAAGAGACAGACATACAGACAGAAGTAGTAAATTCTTTGCTTTTCTTTTGCTGGAAAGAATAAGAATGAAAAAAAAATGGGTTAGTCACTGTAAGGTACATTCAGATCTTCTTCCAGAAGATTTGGGGATGAATACTATTCAATTGAAAGCCAGTTGGTGTAGTGGTTAAGGCATCAGGCTAGAAAGTGAGAAATGTCAAGTTTTAGTCCCACCTTAGGCATGAAGCCTTGGGCCAGTCACTCTCAGCCCTGGGAGGAAGCCAGGGCAAACCACTTCTGAAAATCTTGCCAAGAAAACTGCAGGGACTAGTTCAGGCATTCACCCCTCCCCCCAAACTATTGGATTAAATCTTGTATCTCTGTCTTAGATGTGATTGTGCCATTTTGATGTAGAGTTATTTTTAAAGATATACTGCTGTCTTCTGGATTTTTTTTTTTAATTTCTCAGTCTAGTCTGCAGCCCTGGATTTCCTGAAATATTTCCCCATCCAGGTACTAACTAGCTGTGGCCCTACTTAGCTTTTCAGGGTCAGCTAAGGTTGGCTAAAAACTCTCAACTCGTTGTATTTGGTATTGGTCACTAAGTAGAAAATGAGGCCTAGGTAAGAGCAAATTATATGTAGGTGATTCAGTGTCCCTCTTTATCTTCAGTTACACTGTTGTGCTTTGATGTATAAGCTGTAGTCTAAAATATATACAACCTTAATTTTGTGGTTGTGCTAAAGTTTCATCACGCTGGTTTTGTGTTCAGAAGTGCAATTTCAGTGTAAATGCAGCATTTTAATGTTTGGAAGAATTGTAATATTATCTATAGAATAATTTGGGACCAAATTAGAAATTACATTCAGTTCTGTGTCTCTTTTATTATATATGAAAAGTAGTATTGGAAGGCAGAGACTTGGAGTAAAATAGCATCAGGAGAAAAGGCTTCCTAAAATGTACCCTAGACTTGTTTCTCTACTAAAATTGCCCTCAAATGCTTTTCTATCTACATCATTTCCCATACTTGGAGATGCTGGGTTTTAGCAAATAGGATAAGGATTCTCCTGCTGCTGCTTTT